TCAATATCATGACCATATATCTAACTAGTAAACTTACACTTGGTGATAGCATGACCATAGATCTAACTAGTATACTTACACTTAATGATAGCATCACCATAGATCTAACTAGCATACTTACACTTGATGATAGCATCACCATAGATCTAACTAGTATACTTACACTTGATGATAGCATGACCATAGATCTGACTAATATACTTACACTTAATGATAGCATCACCATAGATCTAACTAGTATACTTACACTTGATGATAGCATCGCCATAGATCTAACTAGTATACTTACACTTGATGATAGCATCACCATAGATCTAACTAGTATACTTACACTTGATGATAGCATCACCATAGATCTAACTAGTATACTTACACTTGATGATAGCATCACCATAGATCTAACTAGTATACTTACACTTGATGATAGCATCACCATAGATCTAACTAGTATACTTACACTTGATGATAGCATCACCATAGATCTAACTAGTATACTTACACTTGATGATAGCATCACCATAGATCTAACTAGTATACTTACACTTGATGATAGCATCACCATAGATCTAACTAGTATACTTACACTTGATGATAGCATCACCATAGATCTAACTAGTATACTTACACTTGATGATAGCATCACCATAGATCTAACTAGTATACTTACACTTGATGATAGCATCACCATAGATCTAACTAGTATACTTACACTTGATGATAGCATCACCATAGATCTAACTAGTATACTTACACTTGATGATAGCATCACCATAGATCTAACTAGTATACTTACACTTGATGATAGCATCACCATAGATCTAACTAGTATACTTACACTTGATGATAGCATCACCATAGATCTAACTAGTATACTTACACTTGATGATAGCATCACCATAGATCTAACTAGTATACTTACACTTGATGATAGCATCACCATAGATCTAACTAGTATACTTACACTTGATGATAGCATCACCATAGATCTAACTAGTATACTTACACTTGATGATAGCATCACCATAGATCTAACTAGTATACTTACACTTGATGATAGCATCACCATAGATCTAACTAGTATACTTACACTTGATGATAGCATCACCATAGATCTAACTAGTATACTTACACTTGATGATAGCATCACCATAGATCTAACTAGTATACTTACACTTGATGATAGCATCACCATAGATCTAACTAGTATACTTACACTTGATGATAGCATCACCATAGATCTAACTAGTATACTTACACTTGATGATAGCATCACCATAGATCTAACTAGTATACTTACACTTGATGATAGCATCACCATAGATCTAACTAGTATACTTACACTTGATGATAGCATCACCATAGATCTAACTAGTATACTTACACTTGATGATAGCATCACCATAGATCTAACTAGTATACTTACACTTGATGATAGCATCACCATAGATCTAACTAGTATACTTACACTTGATGATAGCATCACCATAGATCTAACTAGTATACTTACACTTGATGATAGCATCACCATAGATCTAACTAGTATACTTACACTTGATGATAGCATCACCATAGATCTAACTAGTATACTTACACTTGATGATAGCATCACCATAGATCTAACTAGTATACTTACACTTGATGATAGCATCACCATAGATCTAACTAGTATACTTACACTTGATGATAGCATCACCATAGATCTAACTAGTATACTTACACTTGATGATAGCATCACCATAGATCTAACTAGTATACTTACACTTGATGATAGCATCACCATAGATCTAACTAGTATACTTACACTTGATGATAGCATCACCATAGATCTAACTAGTATACTTACACTTGATGATAGCATCACCATAGATCTAACTAGTATACTTACACTTGATGATAGCATCACCATAGATCTAACTAGTATACTTACACTTGATGATAGCATCACCATAGATCTAACTAGTATACTTACACTTGATGATAGCATCACCATAGATCTAACTAGTATACTTACACTTGATGATAGCATCACCATAGATCTAACTAGTATACTTACACTTGATGATAGCATCACCATAGATCTAACTAGTATACTTACACTTGATGATAGCATCACCATAGATCTAACTAGTATACTTACACTTGATGATAGCATCACCATAGATCTAACTAGTATACTTACACTTGATGATAGCATCACCATAGATCTAACTAGTATACTTACACTTGATGATAGCATCACCATAGATCTAACTAGTATACTTACACTTGATGATAGCATCACCATAGATCTAACTAGTATACTTACACTTGATGATAGCATCACCATAGATCTAACTAGTATACTTACACTTGATGATAGCATCACCATAGATCTAACTAGTATACTTACACTTGATGATAGCATCACCATAGATCTAACTAGTATACTTACACTTGATGATAGCATCACCATAGATCTAACTAGTATACTTACACTTGATGATAGCATCACCATAGATCTAACTAGTATACTTACACTTGATGATAGCATCACCATAGATCTAACTAGTATACTTACACTTGATGATAGCATCACCATAGATCTAACTAGTATACTTACACTTGATGATAGCATCACCATAGATCTAACTAGTATACTTACACTTGATGATAGCATCACCATAGATCTAACTAGTATACTTACACTTGATGATAGCATCACCATAGATCTAACTAGTATACTTACACTTGATGATAGCATCACCATAGATCTAACTAGTATACTTACACTTGATGATAGCATCACCATAGATCTAACTAGTATACTTACACTTGATGATAGCATCACCATAGATCTAACTAGTATACTTACACTTGATGATAGCATCACCATAGATCTAACTAGTATACTTACACTTGATGATAGCATCACCATAGATCTAACTAGTATACTTACACTTGATGATAGCATCACCATAGATCTAACTAGTATACTTACACTTGATGATAGCATCACCATAGATCTAACTAGTATACTTACACTTGATGATAGCATCACCATAGATCTAACTAGTATACTTACACTTGATGATAGCATCACCATAGATCTAACTAGTATACTTACACTTGATGATAGCATCACCATAGATCTAACTAGTATACTTACACTTGATGATAGCATCACCATAGATCTAACTAGTATACTTACACTTGATGATAGCATCACCATAGATCTAACTAGTATACTTACACTTGATGATAGCATCACCATAGATCTAACTAGTATACTTACACTTGATGATAGCATCACCATAGATCTAACTAGTATACTTACACTTGATGATAGCATCACCATAGATCTAACTAGTATACTTACACTTGATGATAGCATCACCATAGATCTAACTAGTATACTTACACTTGATGATAGCATCACCATAGATCTAACTAGTATACTTACACTTGATGATAGCATCACCATAGATCTAACTAGTATACTTACACTTGATGATAGCATCACCATAGATCTAACTAGTATACTTACACTTGATGATAGCATCACCATAGATCTAACTAGTATACTTACACTTGATGATAGCATCACCATAGATCTAACTAGTATACTTACACTTGATGATAGCATCACCATAGATCTAACTAGTATACTTACACTTGATGATAGCATCACCATATATCTAACTAGTATATTTGCACTTGATGATAGCATCACCATAGATCTAACTAGTATACTTACACTTGATGATAGTATCACCATATATCTAACTAGTAAACTTACACTTGATGATAGCATGACCATATATCTAAGTAGTATACTTACACTTGATGATAGCATCACCATATATCTAACTAGTATATTTACACTTGATGATAGCATCACCATAGATCTAACTAGTATACTTACACTTGATGATAGCATCACCATATATCTAACTAGTATATTTACACTTGATGATAGCATCACCATAGATCTAACTAGTATACTTACACTTGATGATAGCATCACCATGTATCTAACTAGTATACGTACACTTGATGATAGCATCACCTACTAGTATACTGAGAATTGATGTTAGGGGGGATTGCATATTAAAGCAAACAAATAAACATTGTTTTAACATTATACATATAATTATACAGCAGGAATAAAAAGGTCACATATTATATGTTGAGGCACAATCATGTGATTACGTTTCTTAACACACAAAGCGCAGACGAAATGCTATATTTTCACATTGTCATTAAATAATTTTGAACTGCTTCCGGTATATATCACAACCAAATGTCATCTCAAGATCCAATGTCTTAGAAGATTTTGATATTTTATTTCTTGAATTACATATGATACAACCAATCAACAGACAATGCAAAACATTTAAGATTAGGAAGGTGATAATATATCTGTATACTACAGCCTGCAGGTAGTTTCCAAATCACTCACTACAAACAGTACTTCTCCATCTGCTACAGATCACTGCACATACTATTCGCAAGAGCGTGCTGCAGCTTCTGATAGATAGGTAACAATTTATTCGTGTGATATAATACGGTAACGGTCAGATGTATGACATCACAAGGTTACCATACAATCTTGTTGGCCACGTTTTGGTCCTAAGCATCACAGATGTCCTAGAAAGACGAAACATCTGTGTGATGCAGTGTAAGTCTATGTTGGCTTACTGCATGTATATATTACAAAAGTTTAAATGTGTAGTCACTGTGCATTTTACGCTCACCTTTCTATAACACTACAAGGGCACCGTAAATGTCCATAATATAACAATGTTTCTACTCCTGATTAACGCTCAGGAATTTAGGAGTGCGGCTACTGGTTCGCCCGTTGTCAGTATAATGTGACCGGGTGGGTGTCCTGTTTGGTGTCTTCGGCCGTATGTTTCAGTGAGGTAGCACTATAAAGTCGGCATCAATTCTGCGCTATCACAAGGATACATACACGAGCATATCGCAGCCTCCCAAAACACACATGCATACACTACCCGCATGCATCTTGCACACAGGGGAGGCCGTCCTTAAATAACCATAGCTGTTGATAGGACGTTAAACAATACAAAACTATACCAAACCAATATAGCAATGCTACCAAACATAGTCATGGCACTTCAATGTTACCACAAACAAGGGTATTGTTTCACACAACAACTACTATATCACAGCATTGTTATTAAGGATCCCCATCCCAGTGCAATGTTTTATTTCGTATATACATGTACAGTTACCTTTCATTTATTTCATTGTGGATGTACAAAAGTAACTGTAGCCCATCAGGACCAGGACACTTACATTGACCGGGTTACTCAGTTTGTTATAGCAGCAGCATTAGTAATCTGAAGTCCAGGGTTCTAATCACAATACAGCCCCGCTAAAATGTTACTCCCTCAGAACACTGCTGTGAATTATATGCTGTTCATTTTATCTTTATTGTTTGCTTATCAACGTCCCGCAAGGTATGGACTTCAGTTCAGAAATGATTTAACAAGGCCGTAGTCATGAAATATACAGTTACCAAGTTGTTACAGGCAGGTTGTTTTCGGGAGGGCACGGGGATCCTTAAGCAGACCAATGTAACCATATATAGGCATAAAACACTAACAGGCATGTGTATAACACTGTCATGCTAGTACATACACTAGATATATAGCACTACGATATTATCGTACAAGTCTATTGTACTATGCGGTGTTCCTGTATATATATAAATATATGTAGCTTTATGTGTAGATTGTATCCAACATGTCCATGGCACAACGACAAATGATATAACGAGTAGGTACCAACTTGGACCATATGCAAGGGTAGGCTACAACTTTGTTTACCAAAAGACTAACTTTGACCACACATAACGGGAGTTTACCACTAAGCTAGCTTCGATCACACATAATAGTAGGATACCACCAAACCAACATTGACCACACATAGCGGTAGTTTACCACTAAACTAACCTCGACCGAACATAACGGGAGTTTACCACTAAACTAAACTCGACCTCACATAACGGGAGTTTACCACTTGACTAATCTAGACCACGCATAACGGTAGTTTACCACTAAACTAACATCGACCACACATAACGGTAGTTTACCACTTAACTTACTTCGACCACACATAACGGTAGTTTACCACTTAACTAACCTAGACCACGCATAACGGTAGTTTACCACTTAACTTACTTCGACCACACATAACGGTAGTTTACCACTAAACTAATCTTAACCACACATAACGATAGTATACCACTAATCAACCTCGACCCCACATAATGGTCGTATACCACTTAACTTACTTCGACCACACATAACGGTAGTTTACCACTTAACTAAATCCAACCCCACATAACGTTAGGATATCACTACACCACTACTAAGTTCGCCCACTACTCCCTTTGTCACCACTTGATGAGTCCCAAGTATCCTCGCTTGGCTCTTTCGATTTTGCAGATTTCAATTTGAGGTCTTCGACGTCAGCGTCACCCCCGCGAGTGAGGTCTGCATAGCCCTCACTGCTACTGTCCTGTACAACAGACACAGAGGCACGAAACAGTTCTAATATCAAATACACAGGCGAGTTGACAGTTTTTGCTACGTCATTTCCGGTTTGTGATGAGTGTTTGTACGTTATATGAGTCTCGTCAGTTCGTCTCACCTTGAGAAGGCCATCACATGCATCCTTAGTTTTCCCACTTTTCTCAAATATCTCCATCATGCCAAGATGACTTTTTGATTGTTGTGATTTTAATGAAGTTACGTTATTGCTAACTGAAAATAATTCAGGGGCTGTAGACCTTAAGTCCTGAGGACTAAGGCTGCTTACACCCAATGCGACAGAATAGTAATGCGGTGGTTCAGTACCGGAACCGGAAGTGTCCGGTTTTAAATCAAACTTGATCATGTCTCTAACCGACAGAGGTTTTTGAATGCAACAAATAGCAGAGGGAATCTCCTTCGATAATCTTGCAATATAGTTATTGTCCTCAAACAGGATATTTTCCCCACAAATATCATGGAAATGCAGTCGCTTTGCATTAGCCGTTTCTGAAATAAAAATTATAACAAAATTATAACAGAAATAACAGTAAAATGATTGGAACAAAACTGAAAAAAATGATTTTCTTACATTGGTAATGAAGTGAAATCGGCATTAAGACATCGTGAAAGAGATTGCTCTAAATATAATCTCTTCATTAAGATGTTTTCTTCCTAGTGTATTGTTTTATCAACTGATTAATCGGGCTGAATGAAGAGGGATAATGCTGAGTAAGGATGATGTTTGGTGCATATTCGACTTTTTGTTTTAAAAATTTGAACAAAACCGCTGAAGCAATATCCCTATAGCAATATGAATAAACTAAAACACGTGTGAATACAAATATAGCTGGTGCACGATACGAACATTCACAAATACCAAAATATTATAATAAAAAATGAAAACAAATAATTGGGGACTCTTTATCAAGTCACTAAAATGTCACAGTGTTACTCTGACAATGTCGATGAAACATTTTGAGCATCACATGACCTTCATTAAATTATCCTAAGAAACAAAAATAGGTTATCCTAGTTGTCTTTTAGTGTTTACAAAAATGACGATGACGTCATTTGTAAACAAATCAATAAACAAAGATAAGAACATTGCTTAAAGATGAAAGAAATAGTATGTTGTGTGTTACTCCTAACAAAATTAAGGCGTATTTATAATCCCGTATTTTATTATTTTACAAGAACCTTTTCGGATTTTGTGTCCTCTTACCAATTTTCATGCAGGGTAATACAGTTAAGTAACGCTATGAAACATTGCAAATTCAAGGTCTCAGCCAAAATTATATGAAAATTGTACACGAGGTCAATTCTAGACCCAATACTGGCATCCTTCTATAATGTTTATGATGTTTGGAAGCAATTATAGAGCAAGAATATATTGTTATAGAGTATATTTCGTCTTTTCGTATTGCAGACTTATCTGCACTTGTGAGCAGGTATTGATTGTTACGTCATTTGTTTGTGAAAGTAACGTATTCAATTTTTGAGAAAACGACGTAATATTTTTCACACAAACCAATGACGTAACAATCAATACCTGCTCACAAGAGAAGACAACTCTGCAATACACAAAGGTGGAATACAAACCTACCTAGACATATCTTGGCTTTTCCAAACTTTATGTTTACATATATCCACACAGGACCGGGGCTAACGGTGGACTTAATGGTCTCGTTGGTCTTGGAGACATTGCAGACGAACTTGTCCTGTTCTATCGAAACTGTCACCAACAGCTCCTTCCGGTGCAGTCTGACATTGCCCACTTCCTTGAAGCATTGCTGGGAGTACGACGTTCTCACATTCTGGCAAGTATACGGGTCCTTTTGGGTGTATCCCACGTCTGTGTGGCTACTTCCGCCAAATAACCGGATACGGTACTCTTGGTTGGGGTTCATAGGTGTTGCACTAAACACACTTCCGCCAGAATACACGTGGTGCCATTCCACCATTTGACCTTCATTTTTCACACAAACGTTCTCGCCACATACATTTGAGAGTGTTGCGCTATTATCTGGGCCTGTGTAATCCGTCATATCGCTTTTTTATTAGAATGAGACCCCTTGGTTAATCTGAAATGATAATATTTACATTATATTTGATGTCATCATAATATGTTACAAGTCAAAATATGACTAACGCAGGATTACATTGAAAATGGAATTTCAAATTTCCATATTCACTTAATATTTTCATTTATTAATGATCAGCATACTTACCTTCAAAATCCTCAATGTGATCTATACTGTTATACAATTTTAAAGCTCGTTTAACTTGACAATAATACAAACAATGCATTCAAAGTATATTTATCAATACCAGACGGACACTCACACCTGTATTGCCTTGTGTGTTACAAAATTCAAAGCTTGTTTTACAAGACGATAAGACAAATACGACAAGCAATGTAGTCAAGGTATATGTATTTAAACCAGACCAACACAGACATTTACTGCCTCGTGTGGTTTTAGTCACTTTACGGTAACTGTTGTAAATTGTCCTGCTGATAATAATGTGTGTATACACCCTGGTTATATTACCACCAGTCGGCATTGTCAATGGAAATTCTACGCCCTCATTAACAATTCAATATACAGGTGACGTCATCGACCTGCTATCCAATTAAAATTGAGTTACATTTCAACAAGGAAGGTATGTGTGCTAGCGGTGTTTGGTACTCCATTCCACGTCTACACTACATGCATGTGCTTTAGACAATCTGATTAAAATACAGCTCCTCTCTACTATCGTATGAGGATCCATCATACGATAGGAGAACAATAGTTTAATGAGGAGCGGTATTTTAATCAGATTGGTCCTTTGGAAAGCCTCTGGTGAGCAATTCTCATCAAGAATGGATCGTTTTAAAACTTAATTACAATGTCATGAAATATATGTTTTGTCTTAATCAATAAATGCGTGATAAGTAATGTTTTCTTTAGATATTTGGTTCCTGTAATCTACCGTATTCATCTATTATATATAGAGAGAGAGCAAATGTAATGAGCTACGTAAGCTACCCGACTCAGAAATAATAGTAGCAGCCTGACGCATGTACAGAATAATTAATGTGACATAACTCGGGACAAACACATATGAATTGAATCTCTTTAAGATAACCACAAGCAACACGTAGGTCACAATAACACTTCAGCATGTGCCCGTCAAACATAAGGAAGATATAGCAGACATACAAAAAATCTATAATATAATCTAAAATACTGTACTTCAGTAGGTACACACTAAATAAAGATATATTCCAGACACACATAAAGACCTCTAAAATACTACAGTAGGTACACACTAAATATAGATATATTCCAGACATACATAAAGACCTCTACAATACTTCAGCAGCTTAACAAATACCATATCAAGGAAGAACTTTGAACACAATATGAATGACAGAGCAATAGGAACAGAGGAGACAAAAACAACAAAAGAAAGAATACAAACCGAAGGCATTGAAGTATTCATACTATAGATTAAGTATCCAAAACCACATACAAGATATAGTCAAGATATAACAAGGTAAATTTAAGTAGTGTGTATATTACAATTCAAGCCAAATGATCATTATAAATATATATATATATAAAGATGACGTTGACACATTTGTAGGAACATATATGTATTCTACAACTGAATAAAGGGTTTCACAATTGTTCTATTGATATGTATAAACGGTATGAACCTCAGTCGACCTTGAAACACTATTTTAAAGTGCAATGACAATTGAGTACATTTTAAACAGACTCATGCATTCCTATATTGAAACTGAACAACACTAACATGTACATTACCATATCAGTGTGTTGGATCCGATATCCTCCTGTAGAGCCCAGCTACCCCGTGTTACCTAGAACATGTGTAATACAGGATATGGTCAATAAATAGCAACAGCCACCGTCCAGAAGTACGGGTGTAACTTTAAATATACCCGGGAAGAGTATGGTTAGCTTAACAAATACACTTATTTACATAACGCATAGTTCCTGTAAGATGCATAGTTTTGCGTTCAGGAAATACAATAGGCCCGACCCGGGTTACTCAAAGGTTGAAATAAGATAACCAGTGGTTAGCTATAGGGAATACTTAAAATACGAATTCAGAGCCCCTGATATTATTTCACTGCTATAGAATTGCTGAGATAGATCAGATTGACATGTTATGCGGGTTTATCCTAGATTGATTATTCTCACCTACCACTGGTTAACGTTAACCAACCTTTGAGCACATTGTATTGTCTGACACACGTGAGAGGTGACCAAAGTGTGGGCCCTGTACCTAGAACCAATGGGTTTCTTCTGTCTTCTGCTGAGGGGAAATGGGAGAAACATAAATTGATAATGCCCCCGGTAAAACACTTGAGACTTCAACATTTTTTCTCTACCCTCAGCTAAATCTGTTTAATTGTGTCTCCCGCGGTACTAGTATTCAAATGACCCTGCATGATGCAAGAACGTTAAACCCCGCACTAAACAAAACAAAAAATTGTCTGATCAGGAATGGTATGAATTAATCCACTAACCTTGTTGTTGTCACCTACACGGTATTCGGGATAGGCGATCTTATCGCATCCTACCCTTATGAATTGTGTAGAAAGTGGAATAGGTCTGCTTCACCCATTCAGTACCCAGGGCGTCAGCCACATACTGATCTATCGAAACGAACACCACACACCTACCAGAATCCAATATCAATAACTGTATTACCCTGATTGATTTGAAATTTTTATATCTAATAGATCAAGCCTGTTTACAATTGTTTACATTTTAGGCAGATTATAGACGATATAAAAATATTATGAGAAAGAAAGGAAGAAACGTAAGAGTGATTTGCATTTACTTTTAATATTTGTTTCCAATAAAAACAATTATAATTATTTGTCCAAAAACCGAAACTACAAAGATATGTCAGTTTTTTAAACATCAGTTTTTATTTATTTGGTTTCACGACCTTTCAACAGCTATGTTCATTTAAGGACGTGGTTTAAACAATAGAAAATATGCTTAAATTTCTTGGTCCAGTCGTTTAAAACCTTGTTAGTTTAAAATTCAACTTAACACAAAACTTGAATCAGATAGATTTTCAATCAAAGAAAACGAGAAAAAGATGTACATGTATATTCAGCTAGATAGGCAAAAATTCAACACAGAAAATTAAAAAGATAAACCTATAAATAGTTTTACAGGCAAAAAATCACACACACACAAATTGTAAATATTGGGGATTTCTCAAAGTTCGCATTTTGAAAATTGCGTTAACGACTGGTTAAGTTGGCCATGCTTTGAAAAACCGGAAACAAGCCATTGAGTTAACATGTTTATTAATTCAAACACCACGATATAGGATACTCTTTGCATTTACTGGTTAGCTTCATATATCTATAATAGTATAACAGGTAGTCACATCAATTTTCTTGTGTGACGTATACACAAAATCGTCCTTATTCGAACATTATCACAATTTTAGATATTAACGTATAAACAGTGGTGAAATTATGTGGGTAATATATAGGACCATATCAGCTGTTTTAACAATAGCGCTGCTGTTAAACATATCTATTTAACTTGTGTACCGGCTCGGGAAAGGCATATTTATTACAGGGTCAAAATCGGGGACAGGATTTGCCTGACTTTGAATATCACAGACCACTAATAAAGCTAACTGGAGGATAGCCATACCTGGCCGAGTAATTGTCTTACTAGAGCAAAACGTAAGGCAAATCAAATTAAGATTTAAATTAAATTAGTATGTTTAAGTTCAATACAAATCAAATCACCAAAAAAAAATGTATTCACGTACTCGAAGAATTAACTGACCTTGTTGCAATTAAGAGATAACGAAGGGAATATCACATCCCTGCTTGACGGTAACTTGATAAGTACACTATCCCTTATTGGTACAGCGTTCCTCTAATCACAAACTCAGCGCCGGACTGACGTTGATCCCATTGACACTTACAAATAAAATGTACCGCTCTATAATTTGTATAATGTGTTTACATGTCGTGTCGCAGCTGCTGCGGTATTCAAGAGCTTGCTCCGAATGGCATGACTTCCGTGATAGATGTCGACTGCTGACGAACATACTTACAGCACAGGGTTTCTAAAGACACATCTTGGTGAAGACTATGGAGAACGTCGCCAACATGATATCGTAGGGAAATAAGCTATTTCTTGGTGATAAAGAGGTCACTGCTTTTCATTATGCTCCTTGATGTGCTTTGTGGTTTTGTTATCACTACCCGAGTTCTCGATGTGAAGACGTGATACTACTTGGACTCGACATAAAATTAATTGGCGGGTGTCGCTGATTAAGCAGTATATACTCCCCTAATCAGAACATCTGGTCTTATCATACCTTTTCAAGTGTATCCGTGTAAACCTTTTCCACTGTTCACTTTTTGTCCAAGTTTAATCAGTTTCATTTCGAATTACAATTTTGGTGACATTTTGGCTTTCTATTGTTGTTTTTATAGACTGGATTGACCAAATTTCAAAATTCTCCTGTGGACGATATATATGGATGGCAAGAGTATCATTACGTACATAAATCACAAGAACGCATAATAAAACATAAAAACGAGCGTATGTATATGGTTATTATATTTCACTACATGTTGTATATTACTAAATGGACAAAGACAAGGTATCACTTCAGTTTCTCCAGCGCATTTTGTATCAGATTTTGCCAGCAAAATTGTATCTTTTCTTCACAATCTGATTAATAATATATGTTACACAAAACGGGAGGTTGGTGTAGTTTTGCTTTTTAGCATTCTGAGTGAAGAAAGGCGAGATTGATTTGAAATCAACAAGCTGTCTTCATATAATTCATTTCCATTTGGTTCCCCCGTTTATTTATTATCCTTTCACGGTCGTGAAAAGAATGTTTAAGATATGTAACACATATACTAAAATTCAAGTTCTGATGAAAGATGATAAATTGCTTTTTGGGGTGACAAGAGAGACCAATAATGAACAAAATAGACCTGTTAGTGTCCCATCAATGATTAATAATGAATGATAAATGAAAACACACACTTTATAATTCATAAAACATGATTTTTTTATTTTCTCCAAAAGTATAACAGTAATGAGCCATAACCACGATGAAATCGCTACTGTAGATTACTATTGCCTTTAAAACAGCCTTTAATAGTTCAATAAAGATAAAAACAAAGATATTGTATATCATTGCACAACCTTTGTTTTCAACAAAAGTTTGTTTTGACATTGAACATTGACACAGGAAGACATTTGTTTTCGATACTAAACTTGTTCCGTCATCCTTTCGATACGTCCATCTAGGCACAAACATACAATACTCGTACTCATAAAGAAGTCGAAGTTTTTAAAATAAACGCATACAATCCATGACAAATATTTATCGTCGCAACCATTATTTATGTAAGACGCACGGGGAAATCTAAACGTTTACAACAGTTTGGCAAAATACATATGTAATTTGTTAAAACATATGAGGAATTTCGCTTATCATATTCTTAACGGTTTAAACAGTTTGGTAAAATACATTATTGATTTGTTTTATTAAACATAGACTTTTCTACTTTTGTACGGCCCAAAATCCTGTCAGGAGTCATCCTATTTTGTTTTCAAAAGTAGACATAAACGACCGTTACAATATAAGGGGAAAGGAACTCAATGTTTGGTGTAAGTATAGAAATCTATGACCCATACAATTTGAATTTGAAATATGAATACAATCCTCATAAGAGCAATCCATCGCCTACAGTTTACATATCTCTTTTGTTGCACTGTGTATCGTAAAATTTGTAATGATTTGAAATTTCCCAAACATTTTAATATAAACGGATTTCAATTTAAATGTCACTTTCATAGAAAACGTCGTTGCTGAATTCAGCTCCATACCAAACAACCTATATTAATGGTTTCTATTTTACATTCACAAGGCGAAAAATACGTTAATGCTTATTGCTTAAATAATTTTGAATACACCGGTTCAAATTAGGAAGAGCTCTTTTTGTTTTAGTGTTGCGTCCGGTTTTAACAATAAAAGGAAATAGTTATACTCAGGGCAATCATATATGTAGGATAAAATAACATCTCAAACAAAGTTACAAACCACTAAGATTGAAAACATGTTTCCCAAAATATAATTCATCGAGATGACAAATGTTACAAAAAACCACTTCAATATTCTCCTAGCCAGTGAATATGTTATTTACACTACCATGCATTGTTCAAAGCGTGTCAACATGATATAAAGACTGAATGTCAATAAAGCACAGAACCTGAAACAGGTATATATCATAGGCACTTTGTTAGATCAATTCACATATTGATTTGATCACGGATAAAAAAGATATTGTAAGGCCATTCCTGTCATAGAATACAAACAATATCAAGAGAATAACTCATTTCTACAGTGGCACGTCAAACAATATTCTCCGATATATCAGCGCCCTATGACCAAACCCTAAAAAGGTCATGAAATAACACTTTCATTTTGAAACACCTAAACATGTACAAGGAAGACTTAATAAATATATCAAAAGACCAAGGCGCCATCGTGCTCATAAAATCTTCTAGTTAATAGTGTTAGTGAGATGTTTTTGCGTAGCACTATAATTTTCTTACCTTTGTATATATTGTTTTAACAGATTTAGCTCGGCATTTATAATGGGAGAATAAATAATTTCTACAACTGATTTCTGGGGTATGTTTAATTAAATAATTTTAATAAGACTAAGCCTAAGCTTTTTTACCAAATCCTTTTAATTTACTCAATTTGGAGTTTAAACGTATAATGTCCATTTTTGTCCCCCTATTATACAAAAAAAAAACAATATAAAAGATTAAGCTATTTGTGGTTGATAAATGTTTTGTTAAAGAAATCATGTTTTTATTTATCTGGTCTGATAAACAATATACCAGGCAATGTAGAACTGAGCTGTATTATCCCTTTCATAAAGGTTAATTAAGGTCGCAAGGTTCCCTTTCATAAAGGTTAATTAAGGTCGCAAGGTTCCCTTTCATACAGGTTACTTTCAGCTACCAGGTAAATGTTGGATATGTTAGTGTAGAACCGAGATATATTTCCCTTTCCCCAGGTAATTTTTGGTTACTCCACAATGTAGAACTGAACTGTATTCTCCCTTTCATATCGATTTGTTTTTATTACAAGGTTAATGTTTGTTTCTTTACAGTGTAGAACTGATCTGTATTTCCCTTTCATAAAAGTTATTATGTATGGTTAGTAGGGAGACTAGTACAGTATATGCTGGTCTTTTTTATGATGGATACAAAAAAATCTGTGATCATGCAGTTAACTAATTAATTGAATAATGATACTAAGAGTTTTTAATGATATATAACTTTTTAGAAAAAATCAGTCATTCCTTTGTTTGATAAAAAAAATATTAATTTAAAGATGTCTTTCGAACACGGTAAAATGTCGTGGATATTTGTTTTCATTGCACCAATGTTGCTGCAAAAGAGTTATAATTCTACCTCTGCACTGTTTTTAAGATTATACATATACATGCAATTCTTACCTAGAGTCAGACATGGTTAACACAATATAATTACTGAGACAAACAAAATGTTCCACAGGTAAATTGCACTACTGTTGAATAAAAATGAAGTTAAACTCATAACAAATGAAAAATAGTTCCCTTTGGTACACCTACATTACACATGTCTTATGTAACCAAAACTTTCAAACTGATGACAGATTTGTCAGTCATCACAATTAGGTATTCGTAACACATGATATATACAAAATATATATAAAATAGTAAAACATTGTCATATCTTTTTTTTAAATCTGAATTCTATGGCTTCAGTATGTGTAACAATTGTTTTCATGAAAATGTTAAAACGGGTATCCAGGTCACTCAAGCAAAGTTATATATCTCTAGTTATATATTATGGTTTAATAAATCTAGATGTGAAAGGTCAAAGGAATTTTTAACAACAAAGAAAATTCTAAACAAGACACATTTTTGAAAAGAATGATATATTTGAGTGTTTTCTTAGCTTCATGAAACTTCTCAAATTTTAAAGTATTCTTTTGATTAGCGCCAACGTATTTTCACAATTTTCCACATTCAAACACACAGGAAATATGAAACCTCCCAGATTAGTATTTGAACTCCCCAAACACTGTATTCCCATCAGATACAAACATATCAAGTACACACATATATATTCCTGTATAATTTAAGACCCCCACAAATATGTGTGTTTCCCGTTTCTGCTTGAAAAAGATTAGGGTCGGTAGATAGGCAAATATTTATTTTTTGAAAATATTTTGACTATGCTTATACAGAGCAGGAGTTTAGACTGTAACAGCGCTTATCACTAAATGCCAATAAAAACTTAAGGGTATGCACGAAAATCTAAGGTCGTCAGGGAAACCGGAAACACACATATATCTTTGTTTGGCCTAAGATTAAAATTCCCAATTCTCCTTGTAACTACATGTATAAATGTATTATGCATAATGATTCGTTGTCACTGTACAACTGTACAACCTAACTGGTCCCATAAATCATGATTATAAAAGGAGGGACGAGAAATCAACCCATGTCGGACACCCATTCTGTACAATTCCTGTGATAAGACACATTGACATATAGTATATTCCTTAAGGTAGAAAGTCCCAGCACTCAGGTATTGTATCTCCAATGACAAAAGAGTTCCAATTTGGGAATTTTCTACCTTGTTTATTTGTTATAGCACGGACTTAGATAACACCATGGTTATAGCACAGAGTTACATTGTGTATAGCACATAGTTACATTATGTATATACTTAAGATATAAAATTCAGTATAATTTTATTTTTTCATAAAACTGTCCACTTTAGAAATCAAACCCTTGACCTTTTGCTAATATAAAACAAATTTGCTGAGCCATTGCATTACTGGTCATGTTATTTGTTATTTTACTACTTTATAGCATCATCAACTGGAAAAGTTTTAAAAATTCTTACTGCTTAAAAAGGCCTGAAATCTACAACTGTCTTTACATGAATATAAATTGGAAATCACAGATTAAACAGGAAAATAGCTTCTTCAATGCTTGATACATTAAAACCAATGGTGTGACTCTCACCTTAAGTTTATCATCTAACAACTGGGGATATTGATTGGAATAAATTGCATTGTTCTATTTCATTTCACATATAATAACTTGTTAGTGCTAAAGTGAAAAACAAAATAAAGTTAAACTAAATTAAATAATAGGTTGGTATAAAAACATGAAGTGTCATTATTTAATGAGTTTATATGGCCTGGGTCATATTTTCTATAACTTAAACATTCACTAGAAATAAGACTTTAGTATAATCTGTGAATGTATATGAATATTTTTTGTACTTTCACATATCATATATTCATTACCTCCTATTTCAATCATAAATTGTCTACTGTATGTTTATTGGGAAATTTTCGCTGCAGTTTAATTTTTGCCTATTTCTGCGTCCGTAATGACGGCAATTTATCAGTACAGCAAACATTTGTACACAACATGATATACATTATAATAAAAGTGAAATGCTAATTCAATATTATTTCTACTCACTTACCCCTGAAATTTCATAATGAACTATACCAACCTTTGAACTGGAAAAGTTCAAATGCGTCTTCAGGGGTGAATGAGTTAAAGTATGCTATTAATTAATGAATTTCTGCATTGTCTATAACATTTTCATCTTAATTATTGGATTTCTGCATTCCTTTATCATTTGGGAATCAATTAATGGATTTCTACAATGTTTTCTTAATTATCTATCAAGAAATGGATTTCTGTAATCTGTATTAAGTTATCATATTTTAACATTTCTGAGTTGCCTATTAAATTGTGTTTTAATTGATGGATTTCCCAATAATATATTAAATTATGTCTCAAATAAAGGATTAATGCTTTGTCTAATAGATCAGGATATATATAAGTGGATTTCTCACAGAGGGTATAGGGTTTTCAGACAAAAAACTTCCTATGGTGGGAGTTAAAGAAACTTCAAATGACAGATAATGCGGAGCGATTTATAATTTTATATCTTTGAAACAAAAAATAATAATAAAAAATTTAGAAATGTTGGTGAATGACTTACTTTTGATATGGTGAAGCTAATTTCTCTCAAAACAATTTCTATCTAGTTTTAAGTTCTGATTTTGAAATCATATGAATATATACCAAAAAATATTATCAATTGTTGTATTAAGCAAAAATTTATGTTTTGAAATATATCCCCCTTTCTAAATCAGGTTCATACTGAAAAAAAACAATTAAATATCATTTATGAATGGTAATTTGGACTGGCAAATTCATATACACACAAATAAGCACACAGGGACAACGATTATCCAGTCATAACATTATGGTATTTTCCCCGCATAAATCAACAATGCTTATAAAACAAGGGAGATCAATCTTACACAAATCACAGGTATGACTTATAAAGAGCATAAACCCTTAAATGTGGAAAATAATGTTCGATAAAAAGATATCAAAAATTATAAGGACCTGAAAATATGGAAACATTGTGTGTAATTCTTTTGGGGGAAAAAAGGGAGAAAAAAGGTAAATTTATGATATTATACAAGTTTTGTTATGATTCATTTACTGACAATGATTGCAATTTCTGGACATTTAGTTTTGTTCTACATCGAAAGAAGTGAGGTTTAACACATAAACTTATCACCAAACTTCACATTTTTTTTCAGGATTCATGGGTGAGTTCCTTGGACAGTGGAAAGCTCTGGCAAAGGAATCAGAATTAGACAAGGCTCCGATGACCCTGCAATACAAGTCATATTACAAATATTAGTACCAGGGGATTCCTTAGTCCGAGAAAACTACTTTTCCGGGTTCAAATTAATTAATAAGCATAGGTGTGTTTTATCAAAATCTCGCCTGTATTTGCTGTAGGTGAGTTTAATTTAAATCTCACCTGTATTTGCCTAGGTGTGTTTTATCAAAATCTCGCCTGTATTTGCTGAAGGTGAGTTTAATTTAAATCTCACCTGTATTTGCTGTAGGTGAGTTTGATTTAAGTATCACCTGTATTTGCCTAGGTGTGTTTAATTAAAATTTCTACTGTTTTTGCTGTTAAGGTGCGTTTAAATCAGAATCTAACCTGTATCGATTGCTGTAGGTATGTTGAATCAAAACCTCACCTGTATTTTGCATAGCAGTGTTTAATTAAAACCTCACCTGTATTTTGCGTAGGTGTGTTCGTCTGTTACAATAGAGGTTTTAGCATAAGCTGGAGTATAGAAGGAACACCAGAGCTGAAACATTAAAACATATAAATAAAAATACAGGTAACCAGCTGGGAAAGGTAAACAACAATAATCAGCACCCAGATAAACAATAACTACAGATAATCAGCACACAGGTAAGCAATAACTACAGGTAATCTGGAAACAGGTAAACGATTAATACATTTGCACAGGTAGCCAGTACAGGTATGTTGCTTTTATTGTGGATAATCTTTAATCTAAAGTGGTTTCTTTAGCCCAAGTTTTGTCATACAAATTACTTTAACTTCTATACGGGAAGTCAAAGTAAAGTTATTATTTTCAATTGCAATCTCTATGTTACTAAATAATTTCAGTCATAATCTATTTATTAAACTTGAAAAGATCTGACAAGAAAAATTGGTCATATATTATTTTACCTGAATGAATGATAATTTTAGCAAGGGACTCTTTATACGGAGGTATCAACGTTAATGGCAGGATCGTCGGAATAGTACCAAATTTAACTTATATGGGACATTGTGTCTCTAACCCCCTTGAGTGTATCATTTTACCTGTGAGAATCCGACGTAGAAGAGTTGGTCGTCATCTAGATCCAAGCCAGGGTACTGTAGCTCATCGTCAGGATGACTGTTTCTCCACTTCCTGTAGGCATGGTACGCAGTCTTAATACCGCCATTATCTGCTATGTTTTCTCCTAGAGTGGTTTCCCCTCGTATCTATAAAAAATCAGAAAATTATCAAATCAATCATAATTACCTTCTTAATCTGTTGAAGTGGCTCATGTGAAACAACCACAAACTGTATTATATGACATTCTTAATGCTCCGTTAACGCAAAAGAGGTAATTATAGGGCCAATAAAAGGTCAAGAAAACATGTTATAGTAACGGACAAACTGTAGCCTGTGTTCTACAATGTATGATAGACACACTCTGGCCATTACATGTATGGTTTGATGTAGACAATTAAATATCTGGATATTGACAAAATGTCTCATATTTTCTGACACCTGAATATTGAATTGATTCTAGCAGTTTAGAGTCGAGACAACGGGAACATACTCAAAGTTACATGTACGACTTTGTTGGAGACAACTAAAAACCTGTTTTCATTCAATAATTATTTATGTCTATCCTTGCATAATATTGACAGTTACGCTTTCGGTTGAGCTTTTGCTGTGATCATGAATTTAGGACTTATCTGAGTATGGACTTGATCCCATGTCGCCCACTTGTGCAAATTAAAAGTTCATAAAATAAAGCAAACAAAAATTGTAAGTTATCTCCCTTTAACATGTTAAATCTCAATTTAACTCAGCTTTAAAAAATATTATAAAAACTATAAAGGTATACTAGGCTGAAATCATGAGTTAGGATAAAATAAATATAATTAATGTAATATTTGAGTATTCCTGTTCAGAGAGTACACACCGATAGGACTGTATACACCAAATGAAACCTGTATCACATGGAAACTTATGTATCAAAAGAAGGTCAAGAAAGTTCAACGGTTCAAAATAGAGCCTGGTTTTAAAGAAACGTTTTATACAGGAATATCTTTCCGAGTGGTGTTTGGACAGGTCCGTCATTTAAAGCCTGAATATATCATAAACATTGGAGACAGCACTACTTACATGGATACCGAGATGTTCCACCTCGTAACTAGAATATTGTTTCACCATACAGCCTGCCCGGCGTTTAAAACCATCGATTGAGGAGTTGGTCCACCAATTATGTAAATTTCCATTAAGATCAAATTTCCGTCCTAGAAACAAGAAAAGACAACCTATTGTATGTATTACAAATTAAACATTTGAAAAGGATTTTGAAACAACATGCCTATTGATCTTATTATTCAAATGAGCAAAAGTATGAACAATAAACCTGCTATACTGACCAACATCTAACTTTAGGATGTAACTTTAGCATGCCTCGGTAGCCTTGATTGCTAACGTGTACAGTCATTACTACTGTGTGCAATCAAGCGTGAGCTTCAGACCACTCACTCTCCCAAGAATTTTGGTTCGATCTCCAGCAGTGGCAGATAAAGAGAGTGATGTCCGATAGGGCTAGTTGTTATCCCTCCGATGGCATGGTGGCTTTACAGAGCTTATGTTTGTTGTTGACAATGTAAACAAAGTTAAATATAGATTATTTATTTTTATTTATTTATTTCATATAAAGCTAGCACATACAGTAAGGCAAATGACCCCAATGTACATGCATGGCGCTGGTGAACAAAGAACAATTTAAGGAAAGTTTGGACAAAATTTTCAACCAACTTAAGAGGAGATGATATTTGGTCAACAACTTCCTTTTTTAACCCCTATCCCCTGAGATGAACGTCCCTTTTGGAATTAAAATGTGATTCTCATCACGTTGAAGCCGCCATTGATAAAAGTCAATCAGCAAAGGTCACTTGAGTGACTCCTGGAGCCTGACCTGGGGTCAAGCGATAAAGCCCTGGGGTCAAGTCGTAAGCATAGGGTCCCGAAAATTGACCCTCAGATCTTACCTGAATTGTCAAATCCATGTGTTAATTCATGTCCGATAATCATCCCCACCGTACCAAAGTTAAAAGGACTGAAAAACAAAAATGTTTCCAGTTTCAGAATTAAGGTTCTTCAGTGCACAATATTACACCAGACAAAACAATAATATTTGTATTTTACAGGCTGTCAAAGTACTTCAGGATCCCTGTCCCACTGCACTGCCATTTTTCCCAAACACAGTAATCTCCCCATAACATTTTCCGTTTGGCTATAACTGTAGCGCAGATTGGCCAGGATGCTTCTATTGACCAGGTAGGTAGCTCAATCGGTTACAGAGATAGTATAACAATCTGAAGTCTGGGGTTCCATTCCTGGTCTATAGCCCTGCTGATTATGTTTACACTCAAAACTTTTCAATTTATAAAGGTTTCCAACACTTAGTTACAGTTTAATCAAGTAGTGAACTTCTTACAATTAGCAGTCCCCTACTCAAAATGTGAAAGCTTGTTTAATGAATACAATAGCTATCTTCCATGTAGGGTATGTTGTCTCTATAATGTTACAATCCTGATGTCATAATAATGACATCATTATCTGGGCATGGCATTCATAGCAAATATGAATGCTATCTTGTTTGAAAGTTTCAGTGTTTTATGTCCGCTTCACTACCAAGAATTTTAGTTATTGCTGACCAAGTGCAATCGTAACTTTGTAGGATTATATAATGTGGTTTCAATTACCTCCCCTGGTAAATATAATTCACTGATTAGCACTTTAAACGTATTTATATGTGATCCATTTACATGCTTATGAGTTATAACAAGATGCCCAATGGGCCTGAATCGCTCACCTGCTATTAATCTCACACTTGTAATCTTAAAAGTGGACTAATATACAGCTACAGGCAAAATATCTGTGTTCGATCCATTTGAATCTATTAAATGATTTAAACATATGACGCCTGTGACCTTGAAAGTTTATAGCCTTCCGTCCCAGCATACTTCTGGCTAGATATCATTACCCTGGACCTTTTGAATATTCAGAACAAGTCATTTAAAGATTTAAACATTTTTGATCCCTGTGACCTTGAATATGAGCAAAGGTCATTCATTTGAACAAACTTGGTAGCCTTTCATCTCAGCATGTTACTGGCCAAATATCATCATCCAAGGCCTTTTGGTTATTGAGAAGAAGTTTTTAAAAGATGTTTAACATATTTGACCCCTGTGACCTTGAAAATAGATGAAGGTCATTTGTTTGGACAAACTTTGTAGCCCTCTATTACAGCATGCTACTGGTCAAATCGCAATATCCTATGCAACTTGGTTATTGAGTAGAAGTTGTTTAAAGGTTTTAAACATATTTGACCCCTGTGACCTTGATTATAAGTAAAGGTCATTTGTTTAAACAAACTTGGTAGCCCTTTATTCCAGCATATTGCTGGCCAAATATCATTATCCTAGGCTTCCTGGTTATTCAGAAGAAGTTGTTTAAAGGTTTTAAACATATTTGACCCCTGTGACCTTGGAAATAAGTCAATGTCATTTATTTGAACGAACTTGGTAGCCCTCTATTACAGCATACTACTGGTCAAATAGCATCATCCTAGGCCTCTAAGTTATTCAGGAGAAGTTGTTTAAAAGATTTTTCAAGACAATTGACCCCTGTGACCTTGAAAATGGGTGAAGGTAATTTTTTTAACAAACTTGGTAGCCCGTCATCCCAGCACGATACTCGCCAAATTCATCACCATGGAAATTTGGTTATTCAGAAGAAGTTGTAGCCCTTCATCCCAGTTTACTTTTGGCCAAACATCATCACCCTAGGTCTTTCGCTTATTAAAAAGAAGTCGTTTAAAGTAAAACATTGACTCTGGACGGCCGGACGCCGCACCACAACTTTGTGCCAGGTGAGCTAATAATCAATTCAATCAGAATCTGCAGTTTAAATGTAAGATGTTGAATACTTACATTGGAAAGTCTGGGTCAAAGAAAGGCTTCTGTAAAATTCCAGCCGGGAAAGCAATGTTGTTATAGGTTGGTGAGTAGTAGGCATTCACCTCTGTAGGCATCATAGCCCACCTGTAAACACACAGGTAAATAAACAGGTAAACAAACAGGTAAACATACAGGTAAACAAACAAGTTAACATACAGGTAAACATACAGGTAAACAAACAGGTAAACAAACAAGTAAACAAACAGGTAAACAAACAGGTAAACAAACAGGTAAACACACAGGTAAACAAACAGGTAAACATACAGGTAAACAAACAGGTAAACATACAGGTAAAACGACAGGTACACATTATATATACTGTAATATATTAATCATAGCTAACCTGTAAACAAATGTAAAATAAAACTTAATGTTCATGGAGATGCTGACAGTGTCAATGGAGCATGATAGGTATGTCACATCCAGCCTTTGATGCATGGGCTGAGATGTACTACCTAAGATGCATGTATGGTGCAAGTTTGGTTGATATAGCACTTTAATTATACTTTCAGAGAAACTAACATAAACGCAAAAACTTTAATGTTGATGGAGATGCTGACAAAGTCAATGGACCAAAAAGAAGTTTTGACGCATCCAGCATTTGATGCATGGGTTGAGATGTACTACCTATGATTTATCTATGGTCAAAGTTTGGTTGATGTAGCACTTATACTTTCAGAGAAACCAACATAAACGCCAAAATGTAATGTTGACGACGCCGTCGCTGGAAAACCAACACCTTAGTCTCGCTTCCACTTCGTGGCGACGAGACAAAATCGGTAATCAATAGGTAAACACAACATGTAATTGTAGCCCACCAGTAAACATACAGGTAAACAATAGGTAAATAAAGATAACAAACAGGTAATTATAGAAATAAAACAACAGATGATGGTGAGCTTAAAAAAGTGTTGAATTTCTGACACAATTTGACCTTATAAAGAACCCTTTTATGGTAAAGTAAAGCAAATAGGCAACACTTAGCCCCCCCTTCGTGTTTCCGGTTCAACCGGTTTGTCTGTCAACCTGGCGGACCTGCAGGACCTACAAATGTTTATGCAGGCCTTGCAAGGCTTTATAATTGTCAAGACTTGTCTGAAAATAGCATCAGATTACTAGGTCCAACCTTGTTTCATAAACGAACAACTCTGGTCCAACTGGTTCAATTGTTTGGATTGCGATAAATGAATGCGGCCTTGATAATTGATTAAAGTATCAATACAGTTATTGTAACCTGAATATCAATACTTATAGAAGCCTGGATTCAAAAGATACGTTTCCCCTTTTGTTTATTTACTTAGAATATAGTATACTTACTCTTCAGGGTCTGGAGGCTTGCCCAGTTTATCAAGATTTTTCTGTACACTATATTGTAAAACTGCGAAAAGACTTTTTACAAACTCTCCTGGTGTTATAGTGAGCTGAAAGAAAAATTAGCAATATTATATAAATTGTATATCAAAAGTACAGGCAAATTTAACTCATTCACCCTGAAATTTCATTATGAACTCTTCCAACCTTTGAACTGGAAGAGTTCATTATGAAATCTCAAGGGTGAATGAGTTAAAAACATAATTTGTAGGTACTTATAAAAAGTCTACCAAAATGAGATATATACTGAGAAATTTTCACTGCTGTTTAATTTTTGTCTATTCCCCCTCCATAACGGGGGCAAATTTATCATAACAGCAAGCATTTGAAAGCAACATCATATACATAGTAATTAAATGTGAAGGGCGAATAAATATTACCTTTGTCTTAAATCATACATCAATATTTTTCGGTGACAATTTGTTGAGGGGACGAGTATTTTCTAGATAGATATTTTATAGAGGTGAACATTTTATAGGACACACATATAGTGATCTAATTTGGTGTAATTAACTCTTTGTTTTAACATGTTGGAGACAAATCACTGACTCTCATTATCTACCTTTAGCAAGACACTAAGCATGTTGGCCTGGATGTTAGCACATGGAGAAAATCAACGTCGTAGGGCAGCTGACCCCATACCTTTTCATGTCTGATCGGGGAATTAAACCCTGGCTGCCTTCAAAGGTGAAAGGCAAGTGCACTATCCACTGAACCACCCATCTCCCTAAAGCAATGTTCTATAAAAATTGAATATTTTGTGAATAGTAACTCTTACATTTTCGTAATGCGTGTCAAGCTTTGTGGGATCCAGGATCCAGTCAGGGTAGGCTATCTTCTTGGTGACATGCTCTGCTTTCTCTGCAGCCTTTGCCCGAGTCACATCATCCATCCAGGTCACGCTCGGAAGATTGGAAATAAATGCCGCTCTTACTTGCTCCAGTATATCCTCCACCTGATGTAGAATAACAGACTCTTCAAAAACCTGTATATTTGTAGACTTGACCAAGTTCCATAATCTTGGACAAACTATCAGAATGGACTTACAAGTTCCAATTACTGAAAAAACACATGTTGATTGAAATATAAGGATTGCATCTTGCTTTGCTGTTCATTAAATTTATTTTAAGACCAACTAAATTCCTCTCCCCTTGAAATCAACCAAAACAAGATTCAATCCTTTATGGTATCAACATTACTTTATACCATCTCTAGTTTATAGACATCCTCGACACTCCCGGGCCCGTTGCGCTCACTTTCACTCTCTGCACCCCTGGAATATGTCATAGCAAAAATGAAGGTATGCCGCTAGCTATTTGATTGGCCTTTTAATTATAGGTAAACAAAAACTGACCAATCGCTAGACTGATACCATGCAGTCCTTTAAAGACTAAAGAGGAGCGAAACCCGACTTCAAGGCCAGTAAATTTTGATGTTATGAGACCAACAGCTAGCTAGAATATTTTAATGTACATCAAATGATCAGAATTCATTCTCTTCGTCTCATCCACAAGGTGGTGCACACTGAGCCTTTGATTTCGCTATGACATATATATATATCCTATGAGTATCGAGGATGCAGTTTAATGAACCCATTCTGTTGCTTTAGCAGGGATTCTGTGCTACATTAGAAATGGTTTTCATCTTCCAAGTCTCTCTAAACTTCTTTGATATCATTGACAAAATGAAATTTTATGTTAATTAATCACCTCAAACAAATGCAGTTAAAGCACAGAATCTGACTGTTTATACAGGCCCTGAGTGACAGTCATAGCTTGACAAATGGACCAGTCGGTCTTGAAACGTTGCGACACCTTTAATAAGTACATGGTTTGTGTAGAAAGTAAAACTTTAAATTACAGGACATTTTGCCTATGGACATAGAGTGCATGCTTTACAGTCCGAATGTTGCCAGACTGACCTGAGCTTTGCTTGTCTCCGCGAAGTAGTCCTGCACATAGAGGGCGCCAGCAGCGTACCCGGCAGTACCGACAGCCTTACCCATACATCGCTTCCAGCGGGGTTCCAGCTTGGTCACGCCCGACTCCACCTTAGAGAGGATGAGGGCAAGGTCAATGAACCGTTGAGGTAGGTATCCCGATAAGCTACTGACCGTTGTCCAGACCATGTAGTCAGCTAACACGCTGTAACATTTAAATACAATCTAAATAATTGAGGTATTGAACATGCATGCATGTTTCGTGCAGGCTGGCACCTGTCCAGCCTTTGAACATTCTTGACTTTGTTCGAGTTCTAGGGTTATACAGCATCACAGTGTTTGCCCCGCTAGTTCCTTACACTATAATACCAAGGAATCACTGTAATACAACATTCTGAATTCTCAAAATTTTCCTTAATTGATATAAATTGAAGCAGAGGTACCAGCCTTGTCGGTCATTACACTTCTAATAAAGTTTATATTATGAGTGTATTGAGAGACAAGGCTAGTACCTGTGTTTAAAGTAACTGCATGACTAAATGTGAAAGAAAATTCAGAAATAAAATATGAAAATATCTCATCTAATGGTTGCCATATATTCAAACTGGGATCGACTCAGCAGTTTCATTGAAATCTATATACACATCTCCCTTAATTAAGTTCAGTGGCAGGCAGTTTATCAGCAGCAGTGAAAGAGACAAAATTATATAAAACTAACAGTAGTCTTAATTAAATCATTTAAAAATATCAAATATCACGCATTATTATTTTTTCATATTATTCCCAACAAGTGATTGGCCAAGAGTGCATCACGTGTCCACCGATAAAAACCGATATTGACTTGGAGCGCATGATTTTTGTTGAAGGACTGGGTGTTTCTAAAAATAGAATTATGACGTGACTCCAAACAAACGCATCGTCCCGCTTCCGTAGATTTTTGCTGTGATTTTTGTTCAGATTGCTAACATTACTGTTTTGAAAATGATAAAACAATTGTAGCCTTTGACTTAGGTCGATACCTGGATTTATCGACCCGAGAAAAGATATATTGACCTCGGACTGCGTCCTCTGTCAATATATCTTTTCTCAGATCGATAAATCAGGTATCGACCTCAGCCAAAGGCTATAATTGTGTAGCATTAAAGTAATTTCAATATTTTTAACAATTTAACACTGCCCTCTATAGCACATAGTTGACAGTTAAAATCTTGCCGAGCCCTCCCCAACCAATTAACTAGCTCCCTCTGTGTGATATGTGCTTTGTAGAAGTTAGTTACCTCCTGTGAGTTCTGAGTAGAGGGGTGAGGTCTTCATATTTAGAATTAACAAAATCAAAATTAATATTCATATTTGATACAATTTAGCAGTGTCTTCAATAGTACAGCTATGGTTGACTATCGTAATGAGATATGATGACATCAGTTCATTTCTGACCCTCTACACTAGACTCCAAACAGTACATATATATTAAAGTAGGGGTTGAATCCGCCGCAGAATTGAGAGGCGACTAATGAGACATTCCGTAGGAATTTGAGATTTTTCACATTTACCGGGCCAGATTCCAACATGCACATGTTCCACGTTTTTGATATCTCGTCCCTTCTTTCTGGTGCTTATCTCTCGTTGACTCACTTTATGTGATAGTGCATCTTGCGCAAGAATAGGTCCTCTACATCAGCGTTCCTTGTCCGGGATGCTCTCAGCTTAATTGCTGCCTTCGGCTGTCTTTAGCCGAGGGGACTATTGGTTTTATATAATAGCTATATTTTCAATTATAGTATATTAATTCTATCTTCTTGTAATATGATGTACGTATGTACATGTAACTGTTCTGTTTCACTGTGTCTTGATAAAGGAGCGGATTGCTCCGAAAATTTGACAACCTAAACTTGTCCACACTGTTGGAATTACTTCTTTGCCCCATATATATTAAAGTATATACAATAGAGCCAACGTCAGGTGTAGGTTTGTGGGTTTATCAGTGGGGCGCTTCACTTTGAGTACGGATACCAAAAGGTATGTAGGGTGATTACAGAACATAGGCACATATAAAGAAAATGGATATAGTCACAACAATTATTCAAGCGTCACCAATAAGTAGGTTTTAGAGTTTATTTGGCCGACTAGTTTCACCTCTAAAGTTGAGGCTTCATCAGGACAATTTTACAATGGTTTAGACACCCAAAGTGCTTTTTTAGGGGTTCACATTTATATTGTGATGTAAAGGACAATGAGCTTTAAAGCCGGGGGCAGATAAAAGCTCATTTTAGTGTCAATTGCACTCCAACCTTGGAGTTTTGTTCCTTGTAATGGCAGAAGCAGATAAACAATGGTTAATTAACAATAGAACATTATGACGTCATCAACATTAGTGGTGTTGTTATGGACATAGGAGGAAAGGTATATTTCTATGTTACGAGGAAATTACTGTTCACATTAATGTAAATAAAGAATACATAGTGAATAATAAGAATAATAAGAGGCCCAGAGGGCCTGTATCGCTCACCTGAATATGTTTAAAATAATTGGTATAAAGTAAAGATATAGCACTCCATGGTAGGTGCTGTAAGTACATGTACATATGAAATTTCAGAAAGATTCATCCAGTACTTAAGATAAAACAAATTTCAAACAGAGCCCCACTCTATTTCTCCTATTGTGCCCCGCCCTTCTGCCCCCTGGGAGACAACACCCACTGCTTATACAAAATTGAGTCCTTTTGGCCCAAAGGATGCTCCAGACTAAATTAGGATAAAATCCCTTAATCCCTATGGTAGAAGAAGGATTTTAAAGGTTTTACCTCTATTTCCCCTACAGGGCCCTGCCCCTAAGGCCCCTGGGGGGCCAGACCCATGGTTTATACAAAGTTGCTTCCCCTTCACCCAAGTATGCTTCAGACCAAATATGGAACAAATACTTCCATTCCTACAGAAGAAGAAGGATTTTAAAGATTAATTTGCTATGGCCCAGACCCTCGTTCCCCTTTAGACCAGGTGAGCTAAAAATAGGTTAGTATTATAGAATTAGTGGTCCAATATATTAAAAATTAATGTTCCAATTTCAGATTTATAATTATACAAAAGTGTCTGTAATTTCTAATGATTATCTGTCTATTTTTAAAAGTATTTATGTTTGGTGCTTAGCCATAAAACAGTCACTACGCTCTTGGGTTGGGAGTTTATGTTTGGTGCCGTCACTACGCCCTCGGGTAGGTTGTTTATGATTGGTGCCGTCACTACGCCCTCGGGTAGGTTGTTTAGGTTTGGTGCCGTCACTACGCCCTCGGGTAGGTTGTTTATGTTTGGTGCCGTCCCTACGCCCTCGGGTAGGTTGTTTATGTTTGGTGCCGTCTCTACGCCCTCGGGTAGGTTGTTTATGTTTGGTGCCGTCTCTACCCCCTCGGGTAGGTTGTTTATGTTTGGTGCCGTCTCTACGCCCTCGGGTAGGTTGTTTATGTTTGGTGCCGTCTCTACCCCCTCGGGTAGGTTGTTTATGTTTGGTGCCGTCCCTACGCCCTCGGGTAGGTTGTTTATGTTTGGTGCCGTCACTCCGCCCTCGGGTAGGTTGTTTATGTTTGGTGCCGTCCCTACGCCCTCGGGTAGGTTGTTTATGTTTGGTGCCGTCACTACGCCATCGGGTAGGTTGTTTATGTTTGGTGCCGTCACTCCGCCCTCGGGTAGGTTGTTTATGTTTGGTGCCGTCCCTACGCCCTCGGGTAGGTTGTTTATGTTTGGTGCCGTCACTCCGCCCTCGGGTAGGTTGTTTATGTTTGGTGCCGTCCCTACGCCCTCGGGTAGGTTGTTTATGTTTGGTGCCGTCTCTACGCCCTCGGGTAGGTTGTTTATGTTTGGTGCCGTCTCTACCCCCTCGGGTAGGTTGTTTATGTTTGGTGCCGTCACTCCGCCCTCGGGTAGGTTGTTTATGTTTGGTGCCGTCTCTACCCCCTCGGGTAGGTTGTTTATGTTTGGTGCCGTCTCTACGCCCTCGGGTAGGTTGTTTATGTTTGGTGCCGTCACTACACTCCTGGGGAGGTTGTTTATGTTTGGTGCCGTCACTACGCTCCTGGGTAGGGTGTTTATGTTTGGTGCCGTCACTACACCCTCGGGTAGTTTGTTTATGTTTGGTGCCGTCACGACGCCCTCGGGTAGGTTGTTTATGTTTGCTGCCGTCACTACGCCCTTTGGTAGGTTGTTTATGTTTGGTGCCGTCACTACACCCCTGGGTAGGTTGTTTATGTTTGGTGCCGTCACTACCCTCTTGGGTTGGGATTTTGTTTGGTGCCATCACTACGCCCTCCGGTAGGTTGTTTATGTTTGGTGCCGTCACTACGCCCTCGGGTAGGTTGTTTATGTTTGCTGCCGTCACTACGCCCTTTGGTTGGGAGTTTATGTTTGGTGCCGTCACTACACCCTCGGGTAGGTTGTTCCATATATATGAACTACTTGCAGTGAGAAAAAGTTGTGTCTGAACTGGTCCTTACTGTTGTGGAAGGATCTTTTAAGAGTTTCCTCCCTTGCTGTTCCTGTCTACCACATTTCCCCTGGCTTAGTAATGACCCTGGGCTATCCCATTAAGCCATAATGGATTTTAATTGTGATAGGTCCAGGATATACTCTGTCTGATGTTTTTCTTTTAATGTTAAAAGGTTTACCTCTTAGGAGTCCTGGCCAGGAGAGCGGTGAGGTCTTTGAGATACCTCGGTGTGTACACCAGGATCTGTGTGTCCTCTGGGATCACTCGTCCAAATATTCCATTGATATAGTCATGTATGTGTATCTGTAAGGAAAAAGGAGGTAATCAATCAGGGGAAGTAATCAATCAGGGGAAGTAATCACTACTGCCTTGTATGAAATAATTAATTTTTATGCAAGAATGATAATATTATATAGATTTTAAACAAATATTTGCTATAGATGAATTCCACTAAAACTTGGAGTTGAACTTAAATTTCACTGACTTAATTTGTCTAATTTTCCTGTTCAAATGTACGAAATTATGTTTAAAACCTTAAGATCATCCTCAGCCTAGGACATCTTTAAACTGTGATAATGATTTCCATGGTCAAGATTTGTAAAATTGAAGTGTAGGGTGATTGATGAGGAGATTTAAATCACATACTCATGGGATCCAAGCTAGATGGCCGCATATAAAATCTGTTTTCCCCCACAACCATTATAGGGTTTCTTATCCCCAACTCATTGGATTTAAAATTCCCTTAATCATAATAATAATATTTTGAGGTTCTTATATACCGCTTTATCACAACCTAGTTCGAAAGTCATCTCAAAGCAGTTCACAAATTATTATCTGTGGTTATAGGGCCTTTGCAACCAGTCAATATCTTTCTCAACTCCCTGGGGAGCATACAACCGGTGCTGTCATTTCGGCACTCAAAGCTAGCATTCTACAATTCTAGCACTGCCCAACCACATACTCATCTACAGCTGAGTAGACTGGAACAAGCGGAGTAAAGTATCTTGCTTGAAGATACAACATAGTGCCGTGACGTGATCCAACCCGCAACCCTTCCGTCACGAGCCCAGCGTCCTACCACTAGACTACCATTCCTCCAAATCATGAGTCCAATGTAAACATTTAAATATATACTAATTATTCTTGATTGTTCTGTGGTTAAGAGTTAATATAACGTTCCTCAGGGAATCCTGACCTACCATTGATGTTGGCCCTAAGTAGTTGTCCTGAAGCTCCTTGATAGACATTTTGTTGTAGATTTTCTCTGGGTCTTGTAACTCTTCCTTGGTTCTGAAAATCTGCAACAAAATATACATCATACATGACATGACAGCAACCACACATGTAAATGAGAAAATCATCTAGGTCTTTATCCACCGGTCCGAAATCACAGGTATATGGTATTCAATGATTTATTTTACCCTCTTCAAAGCTAATAATAGAACTTGAAAATACTGCATTAGGTGGTCACGTGGTGCAGTGGATAGCCCACTCACCTTTCACAAAGACAGCCAGGGTTCATTTCCCAATTCAGATGAGGAAAGGTATCAGATTTCTAGCCCAACCATGTGGGTTTTCCGAGTATTCCGGTTTCTTTTTACGGTATTAAATTAAGGATGAAACAACATATAGTTAACTTACTAATGCTAACTGTTGCTCGAAGTTGTAAATTGCTTCAATCTTGGCCTTGGCTTCCGTTTCCTCAGCTCCCAGATAAACTGTCCACCTGGTTCCGTAGTCGATGTACGCGTCCTTCAGGGCCTGGTACTTAGAACTGTTGGTGTAGTACTGTTCACAAGAGCCCAGAGTGAGACCACTCTGTCCAATCTGAAGACAAGAGTTATGGGCCTTTAGCTTACAAGTCAGTTATTTTTTTGTTAATCTACATTAAGTGGCAACCATTATTTAAAGAGTGATTATCTAAAAGTCGTGTAAAAGTAAATATTTATCTACAGAAATATTACTAAAACTTAAGATTTGGGTTTGTGAACAAAGTTGTCTCCCCTTATTACCCAATATGCATACCCCTTATAACCCAATATGGATATTTGACCTTTGACCTATATATGAATGCAGGGTTAACCAACAGGAATACCTTGCAGCACACATGTGAGTGATGCAGATATCGCTAACGTTTCATCAAGATGTCGTCAAAAGTTTAAAGTTTGCGTCCCATCAATTGCCAGGTGTCCTTGAAAATTTTGCACCTTTTTGACCTTTGACCTAGAGCTATGCACCATAAATGCTTTATAAGGTAAGAGGATGATATACAAAAATGTTTATGTGCTTAATGTTATCAGACTTAAACTTATTTAGTAACAGGTATATAGGGATGCCCTCACAACATAGCAATTCTCATAACTTTGTGTCACAAAGATAGAGGTGACTTCTGTTTAATGTATACTGTATAACAGAACAAGTGTTGACTATGCAACATATAGCTATGATGTTGACAATCACGTGTTAACGTCAAAAAGGTCAAATATCTTAAAATCTTCAAATAATTTAACCTTTTAAGGCCAGGATAAGTAACATTTTATCTACTGTTTGCTACGATAGGCCTCTTGGATAATCAGATGTTAAAATGTTTTGACATCATTCGGCCCCTTCAACCTTGAAAATAAACAAAATCTATGTAACTATTTATATATCGTGCGCACATCGCCCGCACATTGTGCCCACAGTCGTGCGATGATGTCCACACGTGTAGTTTGGAACAATTGGGTGTACAATCAAGTTATGTCCAGTTTTACATCTGAACAGTCTTACAATGTAAATGTGTCAAAAATGAGGCCTGACTCTCGGGTAGATTCTCGGGTAACAGAACAGGTAATTGGATGATTGACCGGGGTTTGCCTGGCCTGTGCTTTACCATACAGCTATGAGGGTGACAGTTTATAACATACAGCTATGAGGGTGACATTTACTATACAGCTATGAGGGTGACAGTTACCATACAGCTATGAGGGTGACAATTTATAACATACAGCTATGATGGTGACATTTACTATACAGCTATGAGGGTGACAGTTACCATACAGCTATGAGGGTGACATTTACTATATAGCTATGAGGGTGACAGTTACCATACAGCTATGAGGGTGACAGTTACCATACAGCTATGAGGTTGACATTTACCATACAGCTATGAGGGTGACAGTTTATAACATACAGCTATGAGGGTGACATTTACTATACAGCTATGAGGGTGACAGTTACCATACAGTTATGAAGGTGACAGTTTATAACATACAGCTATGAGGGTGACATTTTATAACATACATCTATGAGGGTGACAGTTACCATACAGCTATTATGGTGACAGTTACCATACAGCTATGAGGGTGACAGTTTATAACATACATCTATGAGGGTGACAATTACCATACAGCTATGAGGGTGACAGTTACCATACAGCTATGAGGTTGACAGTTACCATACAGCTATGAGGCTGACAGTTTGTAATGTACAGCAATGAGGGTGACAGTCTATAACATACATCTATGAGGGTGTCAATTACCATACAGCTATGAGGGTGAAAGTTAACATACAGCTATGAGGGTGACAGTAAACATACAGCTATGAGGGTGACATTTTATAACATACATCTATGAGGGTGTCAATTACCATACAGCTATGAGGGTGACAGTTTATAATGTACAGCAATGAGGGTGACAGTTTATAACATACAGCTATGAGGCTGACAGTTTATAATGTACAGCTATGAGGGTGACAGTCTATAACATACAGCTATGAGGGTGACAGTAACCATACAGCTATGAGGGTGACAGTTTATAATGTACAGCAATGAGGGTGACAGTTTATAACATACAGCTATGAGGGCGACAGTTTATAACATACAGCTATGAGGGTGACAGTTTATAACGTACAGCTATGAGGGTGACAGTCTATAACATACATCTATGAGGGTGACAGGAACCATACAGCTATGAGGTTGACAGTTACCATACAGCTATGAGGGTGACAGTTTATAATGTACAGCAATGAGGGTGACAGTTTATAACATACAGCTATGAGGGCGACAGTTTATAATGTACAGCTATGAGGGTGACAGTTTGTAACGTACAGCTATGAGGGTGACAGTTTATAACATACATTTATGATGTTCACACTGTTGTTGCGGTCATCATTACTGACACCGATTCCCAGTAGCGGGTCGTTTAATCCTGTCTTAGCAATTTTGACAAATGCATCCATGAAGTTCCAGTTGTTTTCATCCCAGGGTTTGGATGTGTTACTTAGGGTCCATGACCCAAAACTGTTAATTACCTAAAACAAGAAAAAAATTAAAACCTGAAATTTCAGTGAAAATATAAACATTGTTTATGACAGCAGAAGCTGATGAATTACTTGTTAAAGATGTCGTAATATTTATTTTGAACGAACCAATCATATTCTTCCTTTCCTAATGACTGTTCATTGTCGCAAATAATGTCAAAGAGTGTCTCAATCTTTTATGTTTTCTTGAAAACAAAAAAACAGATATTGTCTCTTCTGTATGATCTCTGCAGTGACTAGCATTACTACAAAGCTGACCTATGACCTTGTTAATTATGTCTACAGTTGACCTATGACATCATGACTTACATCTATAAGAAGTAACCATATGTCAGCTTTAAACTGATAAGAGGTTGACCATGATGTCTTCAGTGACATATAACTATAGGAAGTTATATTTAATTGACCTACAACCTCTGTTACTTACTTTTACATGTATAATAAGTTGACCTATGAACTCAGCGACATACATCTATAAGAAGATGACCTATGACCTCAGTTACTTTCTTCTACATGTATAAGAAGCTGACCTACAACCTCAGTAACATATACTTATAAGAAGCTGACCTACGACCTCAGTGACATACATTTATAAGAAGCTGACCTACGACCACAGTGACTTACTTCTACATGTATAAGAAGTTGACCTATGAACTCAGCGACATACATCTATAAGAAGTTGACCTACGACCACAGTGACTTACTTCTACATGTATAAGAAGTTGACCTATGAACTCAGCTACATACATCTAAAAGAAGCTGACCTACGACCACAGTGACTTACTTCTACATGTATAAGAAGTTGACCTATGAACTCAGTGACAATATCTATAAGACATTGTCCTACGACCTCAGTTACATATATCTATAAGAAGATGACCTATGACCTCAGTGACTTACTTCTATAACAGGCTGGATGTCCAGTTTGTCTATTTTGTCCGTATCCATACAAGTATTGTAATACGTTTTCATCTTCTGGATTGCTGTAGAGTTATGTCCCTTGTACATGACACTGTCAGATTGAAATAACTGAAAATGTCAATCAAAAGTGTAAGTACAAACCACAAATATCATATCTCTTAATCAAGAACAGCAATATCTGCTTGTTCCTGTTTCAAATAAAGCAGTTGTCAATTTTTACCATAAAATCATCTGATGTATATTGTACCACTTCTTCGCTAGCCAAGTGTTCGCTTCGTAAACACTCGTGTGTATACGAAACCAACACTTGGCTAGTGAAGATAATTGTACCTAGACTATTTAAGCTCCAATGCCCTACAAAGCCTTTTCTGTTAGTCAAATTTATTTAAGCTACAGTGATAACATTAATAAGGAAACAATACACATTCGTCCTTGATGAGTACAAAGCTATTCATACATTTTGTACTTGCCCTTGTCAGATTGATTTATGTCATTTGACCTTCCGTAACTTACAAAGGTCGCTAAAATGAACTAGATTTAAAGAATATTATATGACCTCAGGTATTTAGACTTCATTACTGAAGATTGACTCACCTCAACTAGTCTTATAAAGGTCATCTGACCTTAACTAAGCTTACATAAGGTCACTTGACCTTACCTAGAATTATAGAGGTCATTAGACCTCCAACACTAAGACAAAGGTTGATTGACATCATTAACCATATAGTAAGTGCTATTATTATTTTTTCATATTATTACCGACAAGTGATTGGCCAGAAGTGCATCACGTCATCGATAATAAACGATATTGACTTGGAGTGCATTATTTTTGTTGAAAGACTGAGTGTTTCTAAAAATAGAATTACGTTGTGTCTCCAAACGAACACACGGCCCTGCTTCCGTGGCTTTTTTTTTTTTTTTTTTTTCAGATTGCATTTGCTTACATTACTGTTTTGAAAATAATAAAATAAGCATAGCCTTAAACTTTTGCCATACCTGGATTTATCAATTTGTTCATAAATCCAGGTATCAACCTCAGCCAAAGGCAATAAATGAATAATATTCAAGAGGGTTTTGATTTCACTTATTTCATGAATGCATTAAAATTAGCGAACCTTGTGAAATTTTCAGATCGTGTCTAGAACCTCCAGGTTTCACATTTCAGTGATGGCTGTACTGTGTTATGGCTGCTAAGTCTACCATAGACCGAAACAATCTAATTTAATAAGCACTTGGAACTATTTGCGAGGTACTCAGAAAAAGACTTATAGAACTTGTGATTCTCAAAGATAAACCCCCGCGAGTAAGTTTGGAAAATAAAATCGTGAAATTCTACAACCGCTTAATTAAACAACTATACAGTACAAAGATAATCAAAATGGCCATTTGACCTTGCTCAACTACAATTAAGCTAACAAAAGTCATTTCACCTTACCTAGATTTATACAGGTTATTTGACATTAAGTACAAAGCTTGCTTGACCTCAACTAGGATTACATGTCATGTGACCCACCCTATAGGAATTATTTCACCTTGTCCTGACTTACGTATTTTTCGTAGTTTTTGTCACAAAATCAATTTTACCTGATTTCACATTTGAAAATGGATTACATGTATCATAGGATCCTCACCTTTTTAAGGTCGTTAGTGATCTGATCCTGAATGACCTGGAATGTGCCGTACTTTGGCTCAGTTTCGGGGATTACTGTCGTCTTTACCCAGTTACCACAGGTGTAGCTGTAGAAGTCACTACACGGATCAACTGAAGTATCCATTTTCTGGAGGATGTAGGCGCTCGTCTTCACACAGGTCTGAGAGTCACAAAGCTGCAGTGCAAATAGTAGCAATAATACACTACAGCAGATACCACAGTGAAAGCTATAGATCAACCCATGGAGGTATTTTCTTGATTAGAAAATTTGCTACAAGTCTAAAAAATATTGTCTACAGTGTACAGGACAAGGTTTTAAGTATTAGCTAATTAGCTTTCCTGTTGCCTAGTATCCTGGTCAATAATTTGGGTACACCCTTCCTTATTGTCTAGTATACTGGACAAGGTTTTGGGTACTCCCTTCCCTGTTGACTAGTATACTGGAAAAGGTTTTGGATACTCCCTTCCCTGTTGTCTAGTATACTGGACCAGGTTTTGGGTACTCCCTTCCCTGTTGTCTAGTACACTGGACAAGGTTTTGGGTACTCCCTTCCCTGTTGTCTAGTATACTGGTCAATATTTTGGGTACTCCCTTCCCTGTTGTCTAGTACACTGGACAAGGTTTGGGGTACTCCCTTCCCTGTTGTCTAGTATTCTGGTTAAGGTTGTTGGTACTTCCTTCCCTGTTGTCTAGGATACTGGACAAGGTTTTGGGGACTCCCTTCCCTGTTGTTTAGTACCCTGGACAAGGTTTGGGGTACTCCCTTCCCTGTTGTCTAATATACTGGTCAATAATTTGGGTACACCCTTCCTTATTGTCTAGTATACTGAGCAAGGTTTCGGGTACTCCCTTCAGTGTTTTCTAGCATACTGCTTTGCCTGTTGTCTACCATATTCGAAAGGTTTTGGGTACGTCTAGTATACTGGACACGGATTTGGGTACTCCCTTCAGGGATTTCTAGCATACTGCTTTCCCTGTTGTCTACCATATTGGAAAGGTTTTGGGTACGTCTAGTATACTGGACAAGGTTTTGGGTACTCCCTTCAGGGTTTTCTAGTATACTGCTTTCCCTGTTGTCTACCATATTGGAAAGGTTTTGGGTACTCCCTTCCCTGTTGTCTAGTATACTGGTTAAGGTTGTTGGTACTTCCTTCCCTGTTGTCTAGTATACTGAGCAAGGTTTTGGGTACTCCCTTCCCTGTTGTCTAGTATACTGGAAAAGGTTTTGGGTACTCCCTTCCCTGTTGTCCAGTATACTGGAAAAGGTTTTGGGTACTCCCTTCCCTGTTGTCTAGTATACTGAGCAAGGTTTTGGGTACTCCCTTCCCTGTTGTCTAGTATACTGGGCAAGGTTTTGGGTACTGCTTTCCCTGTTGTCTAGTATACTGGTCAAGGTTTTGGGTACTCCCTTCCATGTTGTCTAGTATACTGGTCAAGGTTTTGGGTACTCTCTTCCCTGTTGTCTAATATACTGGTCAATAATTTGGGTACTCCCTTCCCTGTTGTCTAGTATAATGGACAAGGTTTTGGGTACTCCCTTCCCTGTTGTCTAGTATTTTTTGGACAAGGTTTGGGGTGTTCCCTTCCCTATTGTCTAGTATACTGGACAAGGTTTTGGGGTACTCCCTTCCCTATTGTCTAGTATACTGGACAAGGTTTTGGGTACTCCCTTCCCTGTTGTTTAGTATACTTGACAACAACTTATGTATTCTAACCTTCCCCATTGTCTAGTATACTGGAAAAGGTTTGGGGTACTCCCTTCCCTGTTGTCTAGTATACTGGGCAAGGTTTTGGGTACTCCCTTCCCTGTTGTCTAGTATACTGGACAAGGTTTTAGGTACTCCCTTCCCTGTTGTTTAGTATACTTGACAACAACTTATGTATTCTAACCTTCCCCATTGTATAGTATACTAGACAAGGTTTTGGGTACTTTACTCAGATTCCTATTGTCTATTTCACTAGAAACAATTTGGGTACCCCTCCTTGTGTAGTGTACTGGACAATAGCTTGGGTATACCTTTCCCATTGTCTTTTACTTGGCAACATTTGGGGTACACATGTACCTGTAGTCGAACTAGCTATATTTATAGATTATTGACTAATGGTGTCGTGTCAGACCTCACTTAGCAATGGAAATAAATTGTTACTTTACCAATGATGCATGGATATAATGGTTATTATTTTTTATAAGAAATAACTAATGGTACAACTCAGTTCTATCACACGCATTATATACTAAAAGTTATATACACCTGAAAGTAACAGGTAAACGTCTGAATTCTTTAATTACTATACTGGTAGTACACCGCAACATTTACAGGTAAACAGCTGACTTCTGATACAGCTGTTGTCTAATAGACCTGATCATCTGCAGGTGTATACTCATAACTTAAACCATTCACCCCTACAATTTCAAACTGGACTTGCCCAGTCATTGTTGGTAAGGTTCAAATGTGACTTAAGGGATAAATATGCAGGAATATAGACTGGCAACCAGAAATGACAAAATAAACATCAGAAACTTGTAGCTAAACAACGAACTGAGCTCCTTACTATATCAGATATGCATACCTAAATTTGTACAGGTAATTTGATAACCATGAACTTGACTTTATAGGTTAATTATTAACTTAACATACAAGCTTCAATTGAACAGGTAAATAAGGTGAATAATCTCAATTCTCATGAAAAATGTATAGGTGAATGAATGATGATAAAAATCTTAATTAGAGGTGAAAGGTGAATTAACAATGATACAAATCTTACTTTACAGGTAAATTAACGACTTTAGATATTTTAAATTTAAAAGTGAATAAATGGCAATGCACAACTTGAATTTGTACAAGTAAGTAACAGTTCACACCCTGTCATACCTGTGTGTTTCCTCAGTACACTACACAGCCCGAGTTGTACAAGTGAATGTATAACAGTTATATATACCTGTGTGTTTCCTCGGTGCACTACAGACCCTGAGTTGTACAAGTGTACATATATCAGTTATACATACCTGTGTGTTTCCTTGGTACACTACTCACCCCGAGTTGTATAAGTGAATGTATAAAATTATATGCATACCTGTGTGTTTCCTTGGTACATTACACGCCCTGAGCTGTATAAGTGAATGTATAACAGTTATATATACCTGTGTGTTTCCTTGGTACACTACACACCCTGAGCTGTATAAGTGAATGTATAACAGTTATATACATACCTGTGTGTTTTCTTGGTACACTATACACATCCTGAGCTGTATAAGTGAAGGTATAACAGTTATATACATACCTGTGTGTTTCCTTGGTACACTACACACCCCGAGTTGTTCAAGTGAGCGTATAACAGTTATATACATACCTGTGTGTTTCCTTGGCACACTACACACCCTGAGCTGTATAAGTGAGCGTATAACAGTATGCATACCTGTGTGTTTCCTTGGTACACTACACACCCCGAGTTGTTCAAGTGTAAATATAACAGTTATATACATACCTGTGTGTTTCCTCAGTACACTACACACCCTGAGTTGTACAAGTGTACATATAACAGTTATACATACCTGTGTGTTTCCTCAGTACACTACACACCCTGAGCTGTATAAGTGAAGGTATAACAGTTATACATACCTGTGTGTTTCCTTGGTACACTACACACCCTGAGTTGTACAAGTGAACATATAACAGTTATATATACCTGTGCGTTTACTCGGTAACGATTCTGGTACTGCCAGATGACAACACTCGCCAGAATAGCGATTAGGACGATAGAGCAGACGAGGCAACAGACGAACTGTCGCTGTTTCTGTTTCCATTCCCCATACCTTTTCTTCACTGTGTCTGTAAGGTCAAAGGTCAAATAAAAAAAATCCAATTTGGTATTAATAAAAGACTTTCTGACTCTCTTGAAAAGGTCAAAGGACAAAAGTCATACAAAACTAAATAGTTACCACATTATGGTCATTATATATATATGATCAACTTGGTTTTTAAACTTTAACTTTTTCCATATAGCTTTGATATAACATATAAATAGGTTCTTGCATGAGTTTCCATTTTATATGAGATTTTTTTTTAAAAATCCGATGAGTTTCATCAATTTCATATGATCCTTTATATCACAAAATCAAGATTTGTAGCATTTATTCGTGTAAAACGACAATTTTCATGCAACCGTGAAATGTAAAAAGCTGCCATTTTGACTCCAGTGCATAAGTCTGTGACGTCATGTACTTGTCCTAGGCATGACATCACGATTGACACATTTAAAATTTACGACCAATCACAGGGCTGATAGGTCATATTACATGGGTTAATATGCCAAAAAATATGACATGAGTATATATATTCACAGGATAACACAGTACATTATATAATTATGTGATAAAACACTTTATCAGTATTTGTTTTTAAAGCAATCTTAGCATTTTCAATCAAGTGGCTATAACTGTTCTATCACTTTACCCGAAAAATATTAAGAAACAGAAGCAGATATAGACTTTAAAGATACTGTAGTCCTCATAGTGTAGACCTTGCTAAATAATGTGAGCTGCTGACCGGATTTACTTCAACATAACCAGTCATGGATTGTCTTGTATGTCAGGTAATACAAGGTTAAAAATGTCAGATATAGGATCTCATCACATAAACGGCCTGTGTTCCAGTGAATTCGCCCGTGTAATATGTTTACATATGTCACTTAAAGTGCAATATACCCTGGAGCGCTTTTCATTGGCTGTGCCATGAAGTCAGAAATTGATTGTGACATCATAAATTGTGAATGGCGCAACAAAATGGCTGTCTCTGTTTGATTAAGCCCTCTACATTTTGGCTTTAAAACTTGTCAAAATGTAAGTTTTCTGAGTTATGTGATAAAAAGTATCTTAAATTTGTTTTCATTTCATATGAGCTTTTATGAAACTTAATTGTCAAAGTTTTAATTTTTGCTTGCCAAGGTTCGCAAAAATAAAAACTCCTAAGACTCGTTTCATAAAATCTCATTATAAATTAAAAGTCATTTAAGATCCTATATTTAGTACAAGATGTCGAAAAATCTGAACTTCCACGTATCCTTGAGTGGAAGCCTAAGGTTTAAGTGTAAATTCAATTGGCATGTGTCAAAACCAAAGCTCATATCGTTTTCCTCACCAGCTTATCCTCGGAGGACAAGTGAAATATAACAGAAACAGGAAGTGTTCTTAACGATGGCACACTCAGATGTACACTCATCACGAAGAAATCCTTTAAAGCAAAAACAGGATGGCAAAAAATATTCACATGTAAATAAAACCCTGTAAACACGATGTCAGAAATTGTACACACTTGGGCACAATATCAGAAAAGATTTGGTTCACGAGAACATGCTCAAAACTGAATCTCTGTTTGATAGTTATGGACAGGATGTCATGATCACAAAACCTACCCAATCTGGAAGCCATTCTATTATATACATTCTATTGAGTTTTTTTTAATTTTATCTATGTATAAAATCACAAGACCTTAATCTTAATCATAAGTCAGTCTCCTTTTATTTTTTTAACAGAATTGGGTACATTAGAATAGTAGAATCTATCATTCTTGAATGATGTAGACAGATAATTGTCTAACTGTAGGTAAGATGTTTGAAGCTTTGCATGAGATTTTTATAACTTTTCAGCAATCTTATATCCCAAGGTTTGAGATTCCATTGTCTGCATCACTCTGGATGATTCATTATTTGTCTTCCACACTTTCCTACCATAAAAAGAAGTTTTAATGGTAAACTAAATGCACAGTTCCATTATCAAGTGTCATTAGTGTCTGGCCTGGATTCGATTCCCCGATCATACATGAAAAGGTATCATGGGGTCACTTGCCTGACCACATGGGTTTTCTCTGGGTACTTCGGTTTCCTCCCCCAATAAGACCCCCACGTGCTAACATATGAGGAAACAAGAGTGAATAATATAAATTGAAACAAGGCATCACAAGTAATACCAATAACCTTGCATATATGCAAGAGGAAATGATGTGACTAAAGCGATGACAAAGTCTTTTCTTAATATAGTAACAGTGACCTTGACCTTGAATGTAGAAATTGAAAACAAAAACTTCATAAGTTTCATAACGTTCTGTTGAGGAATGAAGCCGGTAGAGCGATGACAATTTTTTTTCTAAAAATTGTAAAAGTGACCTTGACCTTGACCTGTAACCCAAAATGTGAACTTGTTCAAAACATTGCCTTACAAAACACTTTTATGAAGTTTCATGAAATTCTGTTCAGTTAAAGGAAGTGACTAGAGTGATGACAGTGTTTTTTCTAAAAATAGTAAAAGTGACCTTGCCCTTCAACGTAGAAACCCAAAATGCGAACTTGTTCAAGATATTGTCCTACCAAACACTTGTATAAAGTTTCATGAATTTCCGTTGAGGATGAAGTCACTGGAGCGATGATAAAGAGTGTAACGTATGTACGTACAAGCGAAATAATATATCCCCTCGAACTTTCGTTGCGAGGGGATAATAACTTGTTTTGAAATTATTGTAAAATAAATAATGTTTATATATATCAAGTGAGGAATGGAGATGCATAGCAAAGTTCATGATGCTACCCTAGAGACGCTGCATACCTTGATGTCGCAGGGTTATGTTTTCAAAACCATTGTGTCTGTGGGCTGTCTTCGGAATGCCCATGTAAATTTTGAAGAAATAAAGGTTCCTTAACAGGAAGTGGCTTAGTTATCATGTTTATCTAACTCCAATTATTTAACTTTCAAATTGTACAAAGACACAAAGTGTACCGAGTGTCTTTTACAATTTAAGGATAAAAAACGTAACCAGATTAAGATAAACATTTATTATTAACCATCATGTGGAAACCTTTTTCTCTCCCAACATTCTGATAGTATATCTGGAAACCCTGTTTTTCTTGGAAATATATTATTTGTGTTTCTGATCTGAGAAACAATGGCCATGAACTATTGACATCATAATTGAAGATGACGTCACAAGGCAGTTACTTGACGTCATAATTAGAAGATTTCCCAAGGAAAACAAGTCAACGGTTGTTACCGACTAGTGGGTAACGGATAATGTTAACCAACTCCTAGCAATAAATACGGAGTGAAGAAACCTGTAGTGGTTGTGGGAGAAATGATGATCCTAGCCCTCGACGTATAGTGGTTGTGGGAGAAATGATAATGTTAGCCATCGACGTGTAGTATGTGACTAGTTTCACCACACTGCAGATCTATCTAACTGGTTCATTTTGGACACAGTTAAGAGTCTGACACAGGTAATTTGTCACAAAGTACAACAAGGACAGAAATTTGTCCCACACAGGATATATATTTTCCTGAGAGTGATCAATTTATCAGTTTTAAACGTGAAAAAATATTGGGGCACCTGACCGAGCACGTTCTCAGCGTACTCTGGTTTCCTCCCACATTAAGACCCCCAGTGCGCTAACATCTGGGCCAACAAGAGTGATTAATATAAGTTGTAATAGCTTGTTTCATTATTGTTGTAAAACACATAAAGTTCTTTTGTTTTATTTATTAGTTTTATAGTCATACTGAACACGTCTCTTACCACTTTCGGTGTCGGAACCAGACAAACTTCCGTCCAAGGCGTGGTATTTGTACCCCTCGGCCACCATCCTGTTCCGAGCCTTGTCTATGTCCATGGCATCATCATCCAATCCATGTTTATCTTGTATTAAGTTTGCATTTTCCTTCGTAGTCTCGCTCATGTTAAATTTCGAAGACTATTCTTCCTCCATCCAAACTGTTCTGTTCTGTTGATCTGTCCAATTATTCCGCTGCAGACATTTTACTGTTAAACTGTATCGTTAAGTTCACTTTTCCGTTTTCGCCTTCAGAGTTTGATGTATCAAGATACAGAGACGTCCCGGAGCACAGCTGTTGCCGTCATGAAAGTGAAGAGTAGAACTAATTTACCTCGATATATACATTAGGAAGTAATACACCATCATCAGTGAACGTCAGATACATCTGATACAGACACCAGTACATCTGATACAGACACTGGTACAGGTAAAGTCAGGTACATCTGATATAGACACCGGTTCAGGTAAAGTCAGGTACATCTGATACAGACACCAGTTCAGGTGTTAGCGTAGGGAACATTTATTTCGACAAAAATATTCAGGAATGAAGTTGTTGTTTAATTTCATACATGTTTATATATAGTAAGACAGTCATTATTTTATTGATTAGTTTTATCTGATTGGCAATATTTCCAGAAAATCAGAAATATATTAGGTCACTTTTATTCAGGATTCTTATTTTAATGATTTTATGAAATACCTTTAATTTTGTTACTAATTATTTTATATATCTTTTGTTCATTTTTTATACTTTTTTTAAGGTGACTCAATTATAACACTTATACCTAAACGATCTTTTAAAATGTTTAAAAGAACTAAAAGACAAAGTTGGCTAACATAATCATGCTTACCAGACTTAGGGTCTGTTGCCCACATGTACATATACTGATAGACAAACAGGTAGACAAATGTACCAGCATATATAAAGTATAAAACACAGTCACATCTAACTAATATCAAAGGGGGTTAGTGGAACAGGGCGGAGGTAGAGGACTGGTGTAATGGTCGTTACTGAGGGTATGGGAGATTAGGGAACGTATGGGCTGGAGGATGGGTTTGGGGACTGTGGAAGGGGCGGATGGTCGTTACTGAGGGTATGGGGTCAGACTGGTAACAGTTAAGGGAATGTATGGGCCAGAGGATGGGTTTCGGGACTGTGGGAAGGAAAGGATGGTCGGTACTGAGGGTGTGGGGTCAGACAAAAATCAGGTTAGGGAATGTATGGCCTGGAGGA